TAAGGTCTTAATCTAAATCCTAGCTCTTCTCATTTGCCACAAAATCCCAATAAATGGGAAATTCAATGAAGCTTTCAAATTTTCACTGTGATTCACTGAGATGCCATTGTGATCATTTGCCGTTAAAATAGCAAAACAAATATTGTTATTATTAATCAATTGCAATAGAATATGCGATATTTTTCATAAAATTTAATGATGTCCTTGAACCTGCTCATTGAAAGCCATTTTTTTAAGGGGGAGACCTGGAAAAAAAATAGACACTAGGAAGCCGTCAATTATTTCCCAATTCGGATTTAAGTCTTGACATCTTTAAAATGTAGAATGATGACCATGGTACCCGGCACGCAGCGATCAACTTAAGCAAATACACCGTGGCCTTTAAAGGAAAAAAGTATTTAATAGGCGACGATTCAGGCAATGGCCCTTCGTCGTAGCACAGGTGGCTGGATGGGATCAGAAGTAATAGTAGAGCATAGCTGGTAACGCTGATATCCCGAGTTCGAATCCGGGCGGCCGCTTGTGATTAAATCCTGTTCTAAAGTGTAGTGACTTGATGATCTCAGCCTGGTCAATAATGACTTCGTTAGATAACCATAGACATACCTAGACTTATACAGGGGCACATAAGACGAGCAAATGATCACTTCACGTATGTATGTCCGTTAAACTTCCTTCTTGCCGTATATAGCCGACAGTGCTAATCGGAGGAGCCCTTACCATTCAGGTTGCAAATGACCTGCTCTAGTAAGCGCTGGCCAGAAGTAAAAAGGCTGTCAAGTTGATTCGGTGAACTTATGCATAATACAGCGCCTCCGATTGACGTTCATTAGTCGTTTCCAGTGGTGTTTGCAACATTGCTGGATCGCACGTGTCATCTTCCCTGCCCTCTGTACGGCAAGGTCACCGTTAATGTTATATGTTGATCTATCGTTGCTCAGTGTCATGTCGTGTTATTCTAAATCAAACCTTTGACCTTTCAGTGGAAATCACTGGACCCTAATAAAGACAATCGACATAGATTGCTCTCCGATGCGAGTTCGGGTTGCGTCCCGTGCGTTGTTCGGCACGATGTCTAACGTTTCGCCCTGTGCTGGGAGCTTCTTTTTTTCGAGATGGGTGACTATCAATTCAGTACCAAATGGATCGGTGCAAAGGTGCTGCCCACGAGTGGAGGTAGAGCCTGCACGAGAGGGAGATCAGATAAACTATTTAAACTAAACTATTTTTTATTTTACCAGGTAAGGCCTACTGAACTATATAGCTCTTTTTCAGAAGCGACCTGGCCACAAATGGTAGCTGAACGAAGTGGCTTTTCACGTGGAAATTTATAGCAGCCAAATAAGTTTAAACGGTTCTTTCTCAATCTGGAGGGGAAAACCGGAGAACCTGTAGAAAAATCCATGCGACCACTGCGGGGGAAAACACGCAGACCCCGTAACTCACGACCTCCTGCACACCAGGCGAGGAAGTTAACATCTCGGCACTGTTGCACGTGAATAAGCACATGGAATGAAATGTCGGACATGCCAAACAACCACACAGGTACAACCAGAAAACACACAGGGAGAGTTTATGCAGCACAACCTCAAAAACTCTTAGGGGCAGCAGTGGCTATGCACGTGGCTGCCTGTAATCCAGCACTGCGGAGGCAGCAAGGGTTGGTGGATCACCGCACACATGTTGTGAAACTCCCTTCCCGTGGGAATCGAGGAGCCGTTCTCTGGCTTGCCAAGATAAGGCAGTACAGGAAAATTGTTGACTCCATCTGCTCCGTCTGTACGGGCTACAGTGTTTCCCCCTCCAACTAATCCGGTTTCTTCCCACGTGTTCAACACTCGTTAATTGGCCGATAGCACCTTAATATATAGAGGGCAATTGTTGGTAGCGCCGACTCACTGACTGGCTGCCGTCTCGCTCGTCGGTGGTTCCTCCTCATGCCTCTGGGTCCTTCCGTCTCTCTGCGAGAGCGAGAATTGTGCGGCGGCGGCGGCACGTTGCAGGCTAAAATTATTACTACGATACGTAGAGTTGCAAAATATATTCAAACACACCTTCACCCAAATTATGTTCGCTCTGCAAGGGGGTAAAACTATTTCATCAAAGCATTTGTCGAAGTAAGCGAATATGTGATAGGAGGCATTATTGCTAAAATTATCCAGGTCCCTAATGACATTATCCAGAATACCACGGATGTTGACGCCTTACATAAAAGCCCTGTCTTATGATGAACCTCCGAAATAGGATATAATATTCCGTACGCCGTAATTAAAATGGCCAGGGAGGCTTCCAGCAGCTGTCATAACACATTGCTGAGAAGAGGGAAGAGGACTAATGGGTTGGGAAGCTTTATCCGGGCATTGATTTTTTTGTGTGTGCTGCCTTCAGGATACAGAGTGGCCTCGCTCTTCACTCGGCATTTGTTTAACCTAGCAAACTCTGGCCCAGTTTAGGCCTTCCGGGTCTCGGCAGCAGAGTCAGGCCTGTTTAAACACATGCTGCTGGATTGAACAGCGTCACCTAGCTGGATATTGTTTTGGTCCACATAGGATATCATGCACATTGCTCACACGATACGATTGTATTCACAATGAGCGTCTGTTCTTCTGTGATGGGCTCGAGTCATTGTCGTTGCTCTACCTCGTCCACTCTGTATACCACATTAATTCGCTTCGTATGAATTGCCTTTGCATTGCTTCAATTTTCATGGTTCATACATGGTGTCTGGGCCCACAGTCCACGCTGCAATATTCAGAAAGGGCGCAAATCAGATGCGGTGCTCCTGGGCCCGTGCTGGGGATGCGCTGGGGTGGGCTCCCTACCACCACCACGCCCCGCTGGTCACTGTTGTGTTGCCCCAGGAGGTTGTAGGTTCGATCCCGACCCTGACGGCTGCTGCATATTTGGAGTTTGCGTGTTTCTGTCCCCGTGGTCGCGTGGATTTTTCTCCGGGTCCTCCGGTTTTTCCCCTCCACATGTAGAAACATGCGTCTAGAGTATTTGGCTGATATAAATTTCCACGCGATAAGCCACTTAGGTTGCGCTATCATTTGTAGCCAGGTCGCTTCTGCAAAAGAGATAGATAGCTCAGTGGGCTTTACCTGGTAAAATAAAAAGTTGATAGTTTTAGTTTCACCCTCCTTCATAGCAGTAGAGACCTGCCACTTTTGTGTTGTCCCCCCCTCGCTATTCAGTGTCATACCATGGGCTTATCGATAACAGCAGACTAAGACTCGACAATGATACATTATTACCGTGCATCGTTAACTTTTATGTAATTATTTGCGGTGGGGTTGTGGCGACTGATTTTGTGTGGGCGATAGAAACTTGCGATCCGTGGCTTTGGAGGGCAAGGATCAGTGGACGAGATCTACTTTTGTGATTTACATTTGTGGGACTTGCAATGTACTTTGAACGAGACTTCCAAAATGAACCATAACTGTAAGGGGGCCAGGAGATGGTTGTCCAGCCCAGCTTTTACAGCTTTCATGATCTGGTTCTTCTAAATGGTATTATACAGTTCATTGCCATCAGTTGCTCTATTGACTATTTCATCAGCAAATATGAAAATCAATCGGGTTCTGGAAAAGACTCATGAACATCAAATGCCATTACGTACGGCCTTCGTTGAGTATGAAAAAAGCACTGAGTGGAAATTGACATTGTCACCTTGGCCCAAGACGTAAATAAGATGATGTATATTGAGAAACGCTTAAAACAACTGTTCACAATGTGAATATATTTGAGTGTTTTCCGCTCGTACCTGGCCCTCCTGCCGTGGTTCCATCAGTGGCACAAAGACCCTCTCATTTCAATCCTCAATCATGCAACAACTATAATTTGTACTGCATGGTGGTCGAGCCAGATAATTGCGTCAGCAGTAGCTGAGTGTAAAAAAGTGTTGTTACTTATTGTGCAGGAGCTGGGGATGTGGGTCGGATTTTGCGCGTGCGACACGAGCTGGAATTGTTTGCAGCTATCGTTACCCCCCCCCCCTCTTTTGTTCTCCACGGCGCTGTTGATGCATTGTTGTTGTTGCCGTAGTGTCGCTGCGCTATGTAAAGCACCTTGAGATGCACTCACATTTAAGCGCCGAAACAAATTCTAATTCTGCATCTCAAAGTTCTGCAGCGTGCCTTTGTTCTTGTGTAGAGCAAAAATCTAGTAAAAATATATTTTTAAATATCTAATTCTACATTGCGCGGCTCTTCTTATTGGCCCTCCAGTTTCTTTTCTCGTGCAGAAAAACATTGGCTTGAATAAAAGAATGGCCATTATTTTTCTGGATAAACTACACTCTTTAGCCATTAAAATCGTATTATTCCTGGATAAATTGCATTGCTCTACGGGGTGATTCGTAGATAATATATATACCCTACTTGATTTCTAATGGTGTCCATTTACTCTGGTCTGAATGGGTGATTGGTGCGGCTAAAGCGATGGGCCCCGTGTCCTTACAGGCACGAGAGTGAAGTGATTTAACAAGTGTATCGACATTGGTGGGAGACGTGGAGAGCCTTTGTTTTTCTCTTTCTATAACTTCTCACGACTATTTTAGTCGGGGGGGGGGTAGGGGGGTAGGGGGTGTTATTGCGGCCTGAGAGTTTTTATGAGCTGGCCTAGTTGAAGACAATAAGTCTTACCCGAAGTGTTGATAAAATCTTCGTACAGTGATTGTACTTGGTTCTCAAGCAGTTGCTTTCCGCGTCCTGGCCCTCCTGCTTTTGGTCGCCGTTAAAACACGTTTAAAAACAAAAATCCGCATTGGTGCCCTATAAAGATATTGAGAGAATTGCATGGGAGAGAAAATGCATCTGAACCTCCTCACTCTCCCATATAAAAAATGAGCAACCCTCACAGGGTGGGGTGGTGGTGGGGGGCTTTCTTTATAATTTGTGATGAGGCATTTTGAGTTTGCGATGCGAGTGGTCATTGTGCGTTCTGATTGAGCTCACTGACGGAAGTCCCCCGGCTTACTCGCGCTGCTGTTTGTGCCTTAGGGACCTCAATATGCTGCTGGAGACTAAGAACATGGACTCCACTGAGCAAGTGTACTCCCCTTCTGGTGTGTATTCCTCTTTTTGTCTGTTTGTTATTATACATGTGCATTTGCCACAAACAACCCCCGTATAGACTTAACATACTTTTTAGGGCCAAGTGCTGTTAGCGAGCAGCACCTATGAAGACCGGCACAGCACCAAGGAGGTGGGTGTCGAGAACCACGCCCGGCCGCCTTTGTATCCCCAATGGCGATGTTTACACACCGCACCGGGTACTCCTTCGAGGCAATGCAACGTGTCCTCACCCCTGCGCCCCTGCGTCTGACTGGACACGTCAACACCTCTACACGCGAATGCGAGCGAATGTTGTTGTCCCCCCCCTTTCCCTTTATTAACACAGAGGCGCGTGCGAGTGCCGGTGATTAATTTGGCACCCAGAGAATGGCCACGTTGGTTTGGCGCCTGCCACTGCTAAAGCCAGAAGCGGTGGCGCGCTCTGCAGGGCTGTAGCCGTGGCATTTTGATAACCGCAGTGGCGCAAACATGGCCGTGGTGAGACCATTTTGAGAGAGAGAGAAAAAATACTTGAAAGTAAATGTGCGATCCCTGGATGCATTGAAGATGCCAGTCGATGGCTCAGCAACGCGTTTCTACCGTCATATTCGCAAAACACGAACCCTGCTCTGTTCAACCCGTTATCGTATGAATCATTCTGCCTGAGCGGTAAGCTTCACAATTCTTCTGCTTCCAAGGAGTCTGTTGCAAACAGCTGATAACAGCCGTTGGTTAGCGTTGTTGGGAAGTCATTCTTGGAACGATTAAGGAGCTATGCAACGAGCATGCTTCATTCGTTTCTGTAAAAAAAAATATCTGCAGAAATATCAGAGCATGCACTGGAGGGTCAACAGCAGCCTTCAATTCTCCTCAACAATTAAGGCACATTATTTCTAGATTTGAAGTTTTCCTGACTGCAAGAATCCATACTCTTTGGTTTTATTCGGTAAAGTCACGTAGGTAAAAAATACAATAAAAATTAAATTTTCATTTTTATTTTATTTCATTTTTTCTATAAAACCAAAGAGTAAGACACATTATTGTACATGTCTTGGCATCTTCACCACACAGCAATTTTCTGCAAGCTCATCTCGATACTTGCAATGCTAACATTAAAATGTCACGTAAGGTATATCCAAATGTTTTAGGGTGTAGATTTAAGAGGCCGGAGAGCAGCAGCGGTTCGTGCCACTGGGTTGTGAGCCCGGCAACCTGAGTTTGATTCCCAGCCGTGGCTAACGTAAGTGGCAAATGCAATCTGAACCGGACGCCAGTCCCTTGATCTTTCACCAACCCATTTCTGACCATCGTGGTGAAGTATGGTCAAAGCAAACTTGCATGGCTGATACAGTGTGGGGAGGCCATCCAGACAAAAAGGCTGGATTAAAAAAAAATATATGGGAAATTTTAATTTATCCACGGGAATATGCATGATCATTTCCCGTATAGTAAGACCATTCACTAATCCACACGTTGTACAATGACAAACACCAAAGATAATACACTGGGGGGAAATGCAAGCTACTCTATTACAATATATGAAACAATGCTAATCCCCGTGGATGTACTGCCAAAGTAATACAGCTTGGTAAAGGATTAAAATCCAAAGATGTAGATTGCGTGATTCAGCAATATATCTAGAAATATGAGTAGAAATTTGAGATTGTACAGGTGTCAGGCTCAGGATCAAGAGTCTTTATTTAGACTGGAAGAATCCGATGAGCAATGAACCTCTTTTTCACACATGTCCAGGATGTAAATCCACAAAACCCAACAGTGCAAAAAGCCATTGCCATATGTTGATTGGCACTTGTTTCGTGAAGTGTGGTTTGTTTTTTTGTCGTTTCCACAGTGTGTATGGCATTTACACATCTATACATTTCTTTTTTATTACAGCTGAAAAACAAAAGTGCATGGGGGTGGATCCACAACAGCTGGCGCTGGAACTGAGAAAAGTGGCGATGAGAGAGGCATCTGACAGCAATGATGAGGACATTCCCACAAACCCGGACTCGTCGTCAAACTCATCCCTGAAACGAGAGCACTCCGCCTATGACAGAGCCCTTCACGAACCCTATACTGGCATCTCCCTGAACGGAAGGTCGACTTCGAAGCCGGATCACGACGCATTAAACAGGGCTAAACTGGAACTGCTCAGCACCAGCCAATTGTTGAATTCAAGACCTCCGCCAAAGAATGATCAAAACAGCACTGGTTGTGCTGATTCTGGGTGCTCTCCGAAACATTCGCCCTCGCCAGGGTCAGCTTCCATTCCGGGCCAAAGGCCCCCGAGGCTCGCAGACTGTCAGCAGAGTACTGTGACCTCCTCCGGTTCTTGTTCGTCGCCAAAACAATCGAGCGAGTCGTCGGGGAGGGCTCAAACGCCTGTGGACACCGCGACGGTTTCCCGTCTGTCCCCTGTTCTCCAGCAGACCCACCTCCCCCAGCCTTCTCAAATAAAGGGCTTCTACCAGGGCCCTGAATTGGGAGCAAAAGCTGGGCAGGTGTCACAAAGTGCCCAGCACCCATCAGGGCCTTACATGGTGCCCTGCTCACCATCAAGATCAAATTTTTCGGCAAACCAGTCAACGAACCGACAAGCAAGCCCCCCGCACGGCGGCTTTGTGCCCAAGCACCCATATACGGCAATGCCTTCTCATTCCTCCCACCATCCGAGTGTCATTCACCACACGGACGACAGACATCCACCGCAGCATCTTCACAATGCACCCCCGACTTACTGTGTGGACAGAGCCACGTGCGCACCGATGGCCCGATGCCAGCCTCTACAAATGCACGGTGGCTGCGCTGCCAACAGCTCGTCGCCTAAACCCATTCAGTCGGCCGCCGAAAGGGGAAATCCTCAGGCTGCGCACAACGCGTCCCATCCGAGTAGCCAATCGCCAAGGCACGGTCTCGTGCCCCCCGAAAAGATCGCCTTTCAGCAAATGGCAACTACCTCATCCCCGGCCTGCGCAGTCCCCCGACCAGTTCTGCCGGCTCACGGGCGGAGTGTGCCTCAGCCGCCGCATGGAAGTTCCGCCGCCTTCTGCTCCAGCCCCAAACCGGCGCCTCCAGTTCCCGAGAGAAATCAGTCGCTCCAGGCGCACGGCGGCGGTGCCCATGCACTGGGCCCTGAAGTGCGGCAGGCTCACCCGGCCCAGCAGCCGCAATCTCCCTACCGGTCGGTGAGCGCCGTGCCCCGTCCCAGCCACCCGCCGCAAGACAGAAACCAAGCGCAGGGCATGCACGGCGCTCCGCCGCCGTACAGCACCATCCCCAGGCCTGCCAGTCCGGGGCTCGACAGAAGTCAACTGCAGCACGTGCAACCCGGCTCCCCGGGATGCAGCCCAGCCGCGAAAGCCACACGTCCCGTGCAGAGGACTCAGAATGCACCTCCTCCCTACAGCGCAGTGCCCAGGCCGTACCCCCCGGCTTTGGACGGATCTCAAGCCCATTACTCCCACGGGAACCCGGGAGCTGCCGGTCAAACGTTGGCGTGCAATCAAGCGGGCGTGGTGGTCAGGAAGCAGCCTCAGTTCTTGCAGACTATCGTGGCGCCGTCGGGCGCCGTGTACGCGGTGGGTTTTCCCGGTGCAGAGCGCTATCACGCCGAGTGCCACCAGGTGCTGCCCGAAATGCCTCATCCGTGCTGCGCTCCAATGCCCCCCGTGCATGCGAGCAACGCTGTCCACAGCAGCGTCCCTCCTCCTCCCAGCAGCACGGCTCACTCACAAGCCACGAGGAACAGTGGGGCAGCTGTCGAGGCCTCCTTGCCTCCAAGAGCGCCGACAGCCTCTGCAGCCGCAGTGACGAAGAAGCAGCAGCAGGACATTAAGGTAACATCAACTTCACAGAATGGGGAAACGCTCGTGTGAATAGCCTTTGCTTTTTTGCATTGGATAAATTGCCATCTCACATCAGTGGAGTTTACTTTATTTAAGACGGCGTAGGTGTCCGCTGTTGTGCCGTGTGGCTCTCCGATCTGTGTTTTCGAGTTGTGCCACGCGTTGTCCTGTATAAGGGGCCGTCCATAAATGACGTCACGCACCTAGGGGGGGAGGGGGGTCAGTCATTTGTGACGATGTGTGACGAGGGGGTTTGATAAATGTGACGTCACATTAAAATGCGCAACTTTAAATAAACATCAATTAAATACAATTGTTATAACAACACTAATTTTTAATAATATTCATGATTAACTATTTGATTATTTTAATTTACTAAGGTCACCTTTTATTTATTCCATGAAGGAGCATTTTGCTTCTCCATGGGAGAATGGAGAAGCATAAATGTTGTTGTTTTTTTGAATGATTATTAAACATTTTGATTCTAATGTTTCTACCAGGGCTTTTCATTCCGTAAAATGAATATGCGATTGTTATAATTGTACTCTCCATTTGCTTCGTTCTACTACAAAGTTTCAAGTATTTTTCTATAGTTATAATTACTTTTATAATTTTATAATTATAAGATAATTTCAATATAATATTCTGAACATCTGCAGTTTTAGTTAGACGTTGAATATTTTCAAGTGAATTTTATGCTAAATTTCAGCTTTCCAACGCCTCCTTTTTAATACATGTTTTCTCCTACATCAGAGTGCAGCACCACATTAAATACGCACTACAATGACAATAGTTTAAAGTTATTTGAAGCATGTTTTATTTTCAAAATGGAAATATGGTTGGGGGGGGGGGCAGAGCTTTGTGACGTCATATTTTAGGGGGTCTGACTTTTTCTGACGCCGTGTGACGAGGGGGGGGGGTAAAAAATCGGCTAAAATCGCGTGACGTCATTTATGGACGGCCCCTAATCCATAATGGAGGTGTTTTTGGGTTAGATCGCGTAAATATAAACGTGTGCTGAAAGCCGCCTCCGCCTGACAGCCAATTAGTAAGGCTTGTCACGTAAACAAAACATTCTAGATTTGAAGCTTTTCGTGACTGCAAGGATACATACTCTTTGGTTCTATTCGGTAAAGTCACGTAGGTAAAAAATAAAACAAAAATCACGACGTTTCGGCCACAACACAAGCGGCCTTCATCAGGTGAAGGAACCAGACTGTCTCGAGGACAGCATTTGCTAATTCCTTTGTCAAGGCACCTTATTTCCTCGCACCCAGCTTAAAGTTCGCAGTCTAAGCGTGGCTGTGTTTCACTCCAGCGCTGTCCTCGAGACAGTCTGGTCCCTTCACCTGATGAAGGCTGCTTGTGTTGTGGCCGAAACGTCGTGATTTTTGCTGTTTTATTTTTTTACCTACGTGACTTTACCGAATAGAACCAAAGAGTATAAACAAAACATGCCAATTACTTACTAATTCGGCACACACCGGTTTGTTGGAGAGTAAATCCACAATTGTAACTGTAACTAATTGGCACGTTTTGTTTACGTGACAAACCTTACTAATTGGCTGTGTCGCGTGGTGGCAGGTTTAACGACACATTTTTTATCGACGCGATCTAACCCAATAAAAAAAAACCTCTCGTGGATAACATTGGTCGCGAAAGCCTACGTGTTAAGCTTGTCCCTGTGTAATGTCCGACGTTCCGCTCCACGTGCCGGGAGCTTCTGACTTCAGTCTGCATGCTTCTCAGACCACGCGCCAAACAACACGTGGGGCACGAGGCGAAAGCGCGTCGGTTGAGCCACGCAGGGTTTAATGTTACACCGTGGATGACTTGCCCGTCCCGTGAAATGAGTATTACCTCGTTTTATTTTGACTCGTTACAATGTTTTCAGGCACACGGCTAACAAAAAAAACGTAAGTGCTGCACTTTTATGTCACTCGTTGGTTGGTTGATGGTTTTTTTAAAGAAAGCATAATTTTTTTATACACAGTAAAGAAAATGTGTCATGTACTCCGTATCAAGACTGTTACAATTTAAACCTAGAACAGACTGTATAAGCGTGAAATTTAGACTCAAACTCAGGTCGCCAGGTGCATAGTGCAGCGCGCTAACCACTGCACCGCCGTTTCCACCCTCCTGCAAAACCCATCGACGCGCAAGGTCAAAGGAAATTCTCTGGAAATTCTGCCGTTTCTAAAATAGGTTGTTGTTGTTGATGATGCGTCCTACTGGTGGAGGCCTGTGACATATTTCTCCAACATGCAGCTCCCGAACTACAGGATATCGGCCTAAATAATCTCCAGATGTAAACGATTTGAGCGTCCTAAACACCTGAACACGGACAACTCTAAAAACAAGAACAGTATGTTAGGGTTAGGGTTGAGTTTGGATTTCCTATTTTCAGATGTAGGTTTTTAACATATTTATTCCCAATTTCGGGTGTTATTTCGTATTTTTATATAAAAAAAATGGAAATGTGTTTAATTTTTACAACTTGTATTGTTTATGCACTTTAAGTAATAATTTTAATATTTTTTGTGAATAATAACATTCTTAATAGAAGGTTCCCATCGATGAAACGGTAATTTTAATGTAAACCTTTTGATACTTTAACAACGTGAGAGAAAGTAACAACGTCACGCCTCGTGAAACTTAACGCTCGTGACGACACTTTTGGCGAAAAACGCACGGAAGTGACTCCATGGTAGTGAAGTCACGTCCTATGACGTCACAGTTGCGAACTTGTCTGAAACACCAATCTTGTTTTCTGAATAATCCAAAATTTTCTATCTAGGCCCGATTATCAAATAAACAAAAAAAGTTGGGATAAACACATCCCGATGATTATATACCACTGAAAAAATGCAGCCCATTAATCATGTGCAAATATACAGGGGGTCCACACAATAACATCCGCTAGATTACACGTTCCAGCTTACACGTGCACGATTTCGGCACGACTGTGTTTGAGAAATATGGCCAGTCTTCATGTGGCCACAGAGCACTAATCGGTTGACGAGCAATACTAATTATAACTCGTTACTCGTTACAATTAGTACTGCTAGTCGTTACAATAGTCGTTACAATTAGTACTGCTATTCTCGTTACAATAGTCGTTACAATTAGTACTGCTAGTCTCGTTACAATAGTCGTTACAATTAGTGCTGCTAGTCTCGTTACAATCAGTGCAACACCGAGTGCTGTAAATACCTGATCACCTGAGAATTGCAATACAAGAGGAAGCTATGGCACAAATATTAATGTAGATACATTCTTGAATAAAATAGGGAAATATATGTCCTTTCAAACATTAAATGATAAATTATTGACAGCTGAACTACATCATAATGAATATATTGCCAGTTTAATTCTACTTTTTTTAAAAATCATCATAATAGAAAAACCAAATAAAAACAATTGCCATACTAAATGAAGCATTAAAATTAGTTAAACATTAGTTAAACATTAGTTAAACATCGAATGATGTTTATCATGCATACATATTTAATCTTAATCAATTACTGTATATTAACGTCTTAAAATGTTTGTACATAAGAAATGTGCATCTGGTGGTGTCCGCTGTGATACTGCTGGATATATTTAAAAAAGAGCTTTATAGCTCATCGGATTCCTCCAGTACAGATAAATATTCTGATTCTGAAACTCTTATTAAGTCACCAGGTGGTGGCAACGCTGCGTAACAGAGCTTGTTAAGTTCGCTGTGCAGCGCTGTATCACTCGGGTGGTGGTGGTGAGGGCAAACTGTGATGACGGTGTTGATGTGGTGGGAGCTGTTGGGTCTTGCTGTTATCCTTAACACAGAGGGCAAGGTTCACTCTACTTAATATCTTGGCCCATGGATATACGAAGTGTACACTATTTGTTTAAGCGGTTATAATCCAGCAACATTCGTATTTAGAGATTATTACACAATTTAAACACATTCAGAATATCGATGTTATAAGGTGGTCGGTCAGGTGCTTGGCTGGGTTGAAAATCTGGACAGCCACCCGTTATTAAACCACTTTCTCAATTTCTAAGTTGGTGGTCCGTGGCCGGGTCACCAATAATGACTGCACAAAAATACCGCACTTGCAATTGGTTCTTCACTTATCTTTTTGGTTCAAATGCAACCTTGAGAAAGTACGTTTAGTTTTTGTTAAATCGCAACGACTGCTATGTACCCTGGCAATTAGCATTTCTCCTCGGCGGGGGCGCGCGTGAAAGCGTGCCACCCAGCGTGCGGTTTTGAAAGGGCACTTGCTCCATGAAACCGCCAGCCATCTGGGCAATTTTCTTAAACCCCCTCGGCGACCTGTGCCTACGCTGCAGTGTAAATAGATACACCACAGGTAATCGATCGGCAGGTTGCGCTCGTGGTGGTAGGGGGGTGGAGGGGATAAAGGTGTGGGTACTCTGACCACTTCCGATACGTCCGGCGTGGAAGAGTAGGCGAAATGTCGTCTAGATTTGGCTCTCCAGAGCTCACTCGAGCGGAGGCCCATCCCGCCAGCAGTGGCCTGAGCAAGCAATAGCAGCGCTGCGCCTTTGTCTTTCCGTGTGCCCTTCCGCCACCGTCGTTTTGCTGTGCTCCTGACAGCCCGACCGCCCGTTCCATTTATTCCCTTTTCACTTTGGTGGACAGGTCAACAGACTTATAAAGAACAGACAATCAGGTCTTCAAGTGCTGTATAGCACGAGAGTGGTATCTTACAGCAGTGCGTTGAAACCCACAGACAGCAAAGCAACAACATTCGCATAGAATCTCCCCGTATGGGCAAATTATGTTGATGCTGCTGCGTTAGCAGTGGTGCACAAGCACAAATATATATAAACAAAAAACATCCTGGACACATTCAGCAATAACACTGTGGCCTTACCATGAAAAATATATAATAGTCCACATTTGGGGCAATGACCCTTCTGCATATTACATTTTATATGCAATGCAGAGTGTGTTATGGAATGCGCTATGAAGAACGGCCATT